CAACCTCTTGCCCATTCGAGCCTATTGGCTTTTGTGGCTGGAGAGACAGCCTTGATGCTGTGTGAGCACTGCTCAGCAATAGCCAGAACACTGATGTGTTATCAATGTCATTCTACTTACATATACAAAGCACAGCACTATATGGGCTGCTCTGGGGAAAGTTAACTCCAGCTCAGCTGGATCCAACGCAATCTCCACCGTACTGTTGTGGCTTAGGCCTGATTGGCAGGCAACCACAAGGCAGCAGCTCTCTCTCCCTTCCCCTCCGGCAATGAGAAGGGAGAGAGAGCCAGGCTTGGGCTCCGAGATAGGACTGGGATGGGGAAAAATCCCCCTTTATGATCACGAGCAAAAGGCAGACTCGTTAGGGGAAGAAAAAAAAGAACATACATTTATTACAGACACTAACAACACATAACAGAGTAGGACAGTGAGAAGCATTGCCACATCTTGAGAACACCTTCCCCCCACCCCTCCCTTCTTCCCGGGCTCAGCTCTGCTCCCGATATCTCTACCTCCTCCCCCAGTGGTGCAGGGGCAGGGAATGGGGGGGTGCAGTCAGCGCTGCCACTTCCTTCATGTTCAGTGAGGGGAGTGTCCAAAACTTGTTCCCCCTGCTCCATCGTGGTCCCCCTCTCACAGCAGACAGTCCTCCACAAACTTTCTCCGACATGAGTTCCTCCCACAGGCCGCAGTGTTCCCCACACTGCTCCGTCATGGGTCACTAACTTCCTCCGACTGGATTCCCTCCCACAGCTGCAGCCCTTCCCGAGCTGTTCCGGCGTGGGACACCCCCGCATGCTGCAATCCTCCCAGCACTGAATTACAGCAGCAGGGGCTGCCTTTTCCCACGAGACCCCGGCCTTCTTCAGGCACAGAACCTTGATCATATGAGCAGGAGCAACAGGCCATAAATCAATGTCTGCTCCACCGTAGCTCTCCATGGGTGGCAGGGCGGGGCCGCCCTGCCGTCTCCCCACAGGATACAGGGGGGATACTATTTGCGTCATGCTCAGGTCCCACATACTTTGATACATTCACATGTTTTCTGACCATCCCATTGTATCTGTTCCTCATTCCTGAAATTCCCTTACCAACAATTACAATTTAACATACTTAAACCACCTTTATATCCAACATACAGATGTATACATTCTCAGTAATTAATATCCTCTGTCTCCTAACAAGCTCTCCGTTGACTATAACAGGAGCTTAAACAACTTGTGCTTATGTAAATATTTACTTGTAGATACTTTTAGATGTCTTAATATCAAAATTCATCCCACACAGTATATGTGCAGGTATGTTAATAGGTCTGTTTCATTAACAAGGCATAACGGAGGCAAGTCAAGGGGGGAAAGAAACACTGAAAAATATCTTAATTTTTGTAGCATTGCTCATTGAAAAGGATCATCAGCACACACTATCTCATTTCAGGAAATTGGACTGAAAGACACACAAAGACAGAAGTATGTTCTAGAAAATGTAGCCAACTTACAGAAAAAAACTTGTAGGCACAGATGACCAGAAATACCAAGAATGAAGGTGTGTACTGTTTATAATTATGTAAATACTCATTCAAATGAAAATAAAAGCAGACTTTGGCCTCTTCAGGGACCTGTTTGGCAGAGTTAGCATGGGATAAAGCCCTGGAGGCAAGAGGGACCCATGAAAGCTGGATAATATTCAATGATCACCTCCTCCGATCTCAGGAGTGATGCATCCCAACAAAAAGGAAGTCAAGAAAAACCACCTGAAAGCCTTCCTGGATGAAAAAGGACCTCCTTGACAAATTGAAACATAAAAAGGAAGCCTACAGAGAGTGGAAGCAAGGACAGATAGCTGGGGAGGAACACAGAGGAACTGTCCAAGTAGTCAGGGATCAGGTTAGGAAAGTGAAAATCCCTGGTAGAAATATGTCTGGCCACAGATGTCAAGGGCAACAAGAAAAGCTTCTATAGGTACATTGGTGATAAAAGGAAGACTAGGGAAAATGTCAGCCCTCTCCAGAAGGATACGGGAGACCTGGTTACCCGGGGTATGGAGAAGGCTGAGGTACTTGATTACTTTTTTGTCACAGTCTTCACCAGCAAGTGCATAAGCCACACCACCCAAGATGCAGAAGGCAAAGGGAGAATGAAGAACCACCCACTGCAGGAGAAGACCGGGTTTGAGACCATCTAAGGAACCTGAAGGCGCACAAGTCCATGGGACCCGATGAGATGAATCTGCAGGTTATGAGAGAACTGGCAGGTGAAGTGGCTAAGCCACAGTCCCTCGTATCTGAGAAGTTGTGACAGTTGGGTAAAATTCCTGCTGACTGGAAAAGGGGAAACATAGCCCCCATTTTAAAAAACAGAAATAAAGAAGAACCAGGGAACTACAGACCAGTCAATCTCACCTCTGTGCCCAGCAAGATCATGGAGCAGTTCCTCCAGGAAACTGTGTTAAGGCACATGGAAAATAAGGATGTGATTGGTGGCAGCCAGAGTGGCTTCACTAAGGGTAAATCATACTGGACAAATTTGGTGGCCTTCTACATGGGTTTATAACACTGGTGGACAGGGGAAGAGCAAGTGACCTGGACCTGCATGACATCCTTGCCTGTAAATTGGAAAGACATGGATTTGATGGATGGACCACTCAGTGCAAAAGGAATTGGCTGCCTGGTCACACTCAAAGAGTTGCAGTCAGTGGATCAATGTCCAGGTGGAGACCAGTGACAAGTGGCGTCGCTCAGGGGTCAGTATTGGGACTGATGCTGTTTAACATCTTTGTTGGAGACATGGATAGTGGGATTGAGTGCACCCTCAGCAAGTTTGCCGACAACAGCAAGCTGTGTGGTGTGGTCAATGCACTGGAGGGCAGGGATGCCATCCAGAGAGACTTTGACAGGCTTGAGAGGTGGGCCTGTGAAAATCTCATGAAGTTCAACAAGGCCAAATGCAAGGTATTGCTCATGGGTCAGGGCAATCCCAAGCACAGATATAGGCTGGACGATGAGTAGATAGCTCTGCTGAGAAGGACTTGGGGGTATTAGTGGATGGAAATCTTACTGAGCCAGCAATGTGCGCTCGCAGCCCAGAAATCCAACCGTGTCCTGGGCTGCATCAAGAGAAGTGTGGCCAGCAGGTCGAGGGAGGGGATTCTGCCCCTCTGCTCTGATGTGGTGAGACACCACCTGGAGTCAAGTGTCCCGCTCTGGGGCCCCCAACATAACAAGGATGTGGACCTTTTGGAACAAGTCCAGAGTAGGGCCATGAAGATGATCGGGGGGCTGGAGCACCTCCCTTATGAGGCCAGGCTGAGAGAGTTGGGGTTGTTCAGCCTGGAGAAGAGAAGGCTCCGGGGAGACCTTATAGAGGCCTGCCAGTACTTAGAGGGGGCCTACAGGAAAGATGGGGAGGGACTTTTTATCAGGGAATGTAGGGATAGGATGAAGGGTAATGGTTTTAAACTGGAAGCCAATAGATTTAGATAAGACATAAGGAAGAAATTCTTTACTGTAAGGGTGGTGTGGCTGCCTCCTCCATGGAAGGGCTCAAGGCCAGGCTGGATGGGGCTTGGAGCAACCTGGTCTAGTGGAAGGTGTCTCTGCCTATGGCAGGGGGGTTGGAACTAGATGGTCTTTAAGGTCCCTTCCAATCCAAACCATTCTATGATTCTATGATAATAAAGAAAGTGTAGAAAAAAGTATAATATTTAATGGTGAGATACAGTAAACTATACCTAACAACAGGAATTCTTTATTATATTCAGTTTTTGGTGAAAAGAGGTGAGAAGTGAGTGACAACATATAAAAATGAAAAAATCATTCAGGTTAGTCAGGAACTGACATAAGTGTCATCAAGTTTATGATCAGTGCTTCTATTTGAGATATTCGGGACAATGGAAAATCAGCTGAAAGCAGGGTTATGCAGTACCTAATAGCCTTTGGAAAGGCCCATGAAAATTCCAGCTCCTAAGGTACCTTTCTGAATGGAAAGCTGTTCTTAGCTGGTCTGTGGTCAGAAATGAAGAAAAGGTGATTGGAAATAGTACTGAAATTGATAAATAACATATACAAAACCAGTAATAATGTCCACAGTCAGCTTTGATCTTTGCCTCCAGGAAAAGAATGAGAAGTGATTCAGAGCATTGCTCTAAACATTATTTTAAGGGTTTTTAAGGCCTTAGTACATCAAGTCCTGAAATCAGTCCCAAAAGACTTTGAAGTAAAACTGTAGATTTGCCATAGTCAAAAAAAAAGGTAAGCAGGTCAGCATTTACTTCCTGCTAAAACCTGATGGAGATCGAGACCCTTCTCTTCCTGCTTTGCTTGAACAGTTCAGATCTCATGGACATTTTCCATGCACTCCTAAGACATGCTGGCAGGAGCTGGCAGAGGCTCTGAACATGCCTAGTGGTGATGCTCACTTTAACAGAGCACTCGCAGGGAAGTGAGTCGCCCACACCCTGACAGGACCAAAAGCCAAACCATCCACTTCCCAAAAAGTGCCTTCAGGTGGTTGAAAGCCAGTCTAAATGCCCACCTTGCAGCAGAAGCTGGAGCACTGAGTAGGAAAATCTGCAGTGACGTTCCCGGGATCAGAAAGCAAGAAAACCTGATTTTCTGATGGTGTGGTTAGGGTAGATATGTGGGACAACAGTAATCCTAGATCATGGTCTCTGCACCAACTACAGTGAGTGTATGCATCATGCACTGAATATGAGTGTATCATAATGAGAGTCTGGGGCCTCTCTATCTCAAACCACTACGTTGTAAAAGACAGTAGTGAGCTTATTCAGTTCTTTCAAAGAAGAGGTACCTGTCAGATGTCCTGAAGTACACCCTCTTCTTGACTTTTATTAAAAATTTTCTCTAGGGTTAAATTGGATGACATCTTTGACTCTTGTCATAAAAAAAAAAAAAAAAAAAAAAAAAAGAAGTTTGTAGAAACCAAAGTACACTTTGGCATAATTTTACCTTTTTTTTTTTTTTTTTTTTTTTGAAGGTCTCATTGCCTCTTTCCAGAGAAGAAAAGATGTTTGATACTCTTGGACTCATCTGCATGATTTGGTGGTATATGATGCTATTTCATCCCTTGCATGCTGACATCCAGTGTACGAGGTGTAAGTATGTTTTTGCAGATATAACCTGAGAAACGGGGTTTAATGCTTCATTTATCAGAGATATTTGTAATTAATCTGGCAATTGTCATTTTAGGCCTGATGGATACTATCCTCTGCATTCGACAGTAACAATAGCGTATCTTTACTGAACTTATTCTATAGCACTTGCAGCAGAGGCACGAGAATCACCTATTAGAAATGTGAAAATGAATTGGAGAAAAATGGAATTGTCCTGGGAGAGCAGCCAGAATTTCTCTAAGTACAAATGTACCATCATGGACAGGGACATGGAATTTATAGTTAAAGAGGTAAACTTGCTATTTATTGATATAAATAATTTACCTTTTATCTGTTTCACTTACTTTGAAAAAGCTAATCAGTTGCAGGTAAAATCTGATCAGTGACTGTTTGCAGTCTACAGCTTGATCTGTCTGGGGCTGTGGAAATTTGTCACCAATGCCAGGGTGCATTTGCTGCAGGAGGAGCATCCTGTCCATACCACAGAACTGAAGTTCTGGCCCCAAAATGGAAAGGAGGCGGTGCTCCAAACTGTACCTACGTTGAATCATGAATAGGGAGGTAGCTTCTGAAAAAGGGGGCTGTGAGACTAAGTGACACTCCTAGAAAATTTAGAGAGACAGAGCCAGAGACTCTTCCAATACAAAAATGAACTCCCCAAACTCTGCCATGGATTTTCATTATTTCACGTTTTTCACTTGTTTCCCAGTAAATTGGAACATGCCTGTAGCACAGGTTATGTTGTAAGCCAACATTATCCAAAGAGAAGACTAGGAAGCTGGACAGAGAGATACAGATGGCTTATTTGGCCTAGCAAAGCAGATACCTTAGAAATATATATTACAAAAACACATCCCGTCTTTATTGAAGATTATGAATATAACGCCACAGACACCTTTCTGACCCCTGCAGAGGTCTGATGAGGACTTCTATTTTGCCTAGCCCTTTGATTAAATTCCATTGTGGTTCCTCTCTTTATTAACCATCTTAAATAATGCCACTAGGGTCCTATTAGCCTTCTCTAATATTTGCACACTAGTGTAGCATCCAACTCCTGAGCTGCAAAGCTTTTTGTGTAGTTATGCTTTTGATCACTCAGCTCCACTCTACATCATCCTCAAGTGGTGAAGGAGGGAGTTAGCTCTTGAGCCTAAAACACATACATATACAAGCAAGATTTTTGGCCCTAAAAATTGAGTCGCTGAGTTGCACTTCCATAGCTAGCATCACCTAGCACCAGCAGAGGAAAAAACAAGAAATAAAACATCAACATGTTCCTTTTCAGGTGAATATTTCACTGTGCAGGTTTCCAGTGAAACAATACGTGCCTCTGCACAAAGGGTTATTCTTTACCATTGAAGTGCCAGACACGAACATCTCAGAAAACTGCATCTTTATCCCTGGAGGTAATGTCTATGGTTTCGGTAAGGTTTTCTCCATTTGCAGTCTTTTAAAGGTAAACATTGCCTTAGAAAGAAATTCCTTATGTGGTAGGTAACTATTAAAAATTATTTTTTGTAAATCTGATAAAGTTATTTGCTCTGTAATGAATGTTTCCACAATTCTGCAAGACATGAATTACTACAAATTGTATAAGCAATTGCATTATTCTCTTTCATCCTAGGGCTCCAAAATGCCACTAAATTATAGTGGTTTAAGGGTTAAGGTTCAAATAACCGTCCTGGATGTTACAAAATAAGACGTTAGCACACTTTTCTTTATTAAATGCTTTTTTGGTAGGCTGTTGGTGAGTTTTCAGGAGCCAGACCACAGAGCTAGCTAAAGGCACAGTCTGGAGATCAGTGAAACCCATAAAACGGGAGGAGGAGAGGAAAGGGAATGCCGGTGATAAGCAGCTAGGGGCAAATGGAATGTGCACACTCACACGCACACATGCGTGGGTTCCCTCAGCTGCCCTGCACCCACGGAGCTGGGGCAACTACTTACAAAGATATCCTGAGCCTGCCGCACTTGGGAGTTAATAAAAGTGGGATTTAGGCAGATCCTAGGTTCATAATTCCAAACCTGCAGCTTTTACGGCACGTTTTCCCCTTCCTTCTCCACTCCGAGTTCTCATCCAGTAAAACAGCCCAGTCACCAGTGCTCCTGCAGCTCTGTGTAACCGGGGTATTTCAGACTTGGCAGAGGTGATGAGATCAGCAGCTCGTTAATATCTGGGCAGAGAAAGTACTCCCTACTCACCTCTTCCCAGGGACTTGACAGAGGAAACACTCTCTGGGTAACCCAGAAAATACAAGCCAGGGCACTCTGCCTCTTAAAACCTCTTGCTTTTGGTGTTCCTCCTCAGCTGGCCCTAACTTCCAAGCATGCAGGTTCCCCAGCGGCTTCTCCCCTGCTTCCACAAGAGTGCCCTCAATTGGGCACTGGAGGCAGTAGCAGAGGAAGCCTCCACCATTTTGCTGAAGTTGGGGCATGCCACAAGAAGCAGCAGAAAATTGAGTGAAGGAGAAGAGAGCAGGAGGCTGAGCATGCCTGCAGAGCCCAGCCACAGGGGCGCTTCCAAAGAAATTAGGTTCCCACTTCAGTGTCCTCCAGAAAAGGAAGAGATCAAGTCGCTGTCACCCACAACAGGGTGGAAAGATCTAGCTATTTGATCAGAGGGCAGCAAAAAAGCCCAACCTTACTTTTAAAAGTCGCAGCTTTTAAAATGCTGTGTGTAAACACTTCAGGAGTGGATTCCTGGGCATTAATTGCAAAAGGAGGAATACTTCTCTCTGTAGCACCGAGGATGGTGTTAAAAGGCATCGTGCCTTCCTTTACCTGTGTGGATGTTCTATTCCTTCCCAGGTTTCACAGTTCAGAGGCAGTCAAAATAGGGTGAGAGTCTGTCTCTCAGCTGTCATTCCTAACCCAAGCAATAGCCAGCTGAAGTTGCAGGTGTCTAACATATCTAGGTGTGTGCCAAGATCCTCCAGCTTGGAGCAGACACACAATTTTTCCTCATCACAGATATTTCTGTGTTTGCAGGCATGAATGGGTCAGCCATTGAAAACTTCTCCTGTGTGATTTATAACATTTCCCTCATGAAGTGCTCTTGGCAGGCAGGCAGGGATGCTCCAGGAGATACCCAATATTTTCTCTACTGGAAGAACTCAAGGTAAGTAGGTCTGCTTGAGTCGAGGGAAGTCTGAATTCTCATTCAACACATCATACTGCTCACGTTTCACTAAAATACCTTGCTATATACAGAGATGGTGATGTGATGGAATGTGAGCTTTACATTAAAGATGAAAATGGAAGAAACATGGGATGTAGATTCCAAAATGTGACAATAGAGCTTGAAAAAGCTTACTTCCTGGTGAACGGGTCTAGCAAAGAAACACCGATCCAGTTCTATGATGAGTATGTTGAACTGTATCAAATTGGTAAGTGAAAATTTTTATTTTATTGCTGTTTTATAAAATGGAGTGGGGAATTTTTCTCTGAAGAGAAAAGAAGAATGAAACAATGTCTGTAGCCATTGCAGGATCCTGCACTGCAGGACAGACTTTGCTTCTGATAGCTGACAGAATAGTTCCAAAAATTAACTAAAACAAGCAAAGGCAGAGGCAGCCTGAAATAACTTCTCAGAGAAGTGGTGTGAATATATCCATGGAATCCAAGTGATGAAATGCAATGGTTAGACTTTCAAGGCCACCTTTCTGATGAGCTAACTTTGCCATCCCTTAATTCCACACCTCTCTGAGAGCCACAAGAGCTACATGTCCTAAAACCAGAGGAGGGCTCAACTTCCAAATTAAAACTTCGTTAGTTAAATATATGGGTACCTATGTGTGAACGAAGTGTTTATGCTCCTACATTCATTATTTTATTTCTTTCCAGAAACACTCACTCCTCCATTAAATGTCACTGTCAATTGTACCAGAGATTCAGCAGGTTGCATAATTACATGGCAACCACCTCTTACAAGTCATGTGGAAAATACAGAGTGTTTTCAGTATGAAATTAGCATACAAAATAAGGTAAAAACAATTTCTTTAACTGCATTTGGCACCATAACTACATACACACATATATATAACACAGAAACGTATGTTTCCTTTATTTAATAACTCCTCTCTCATAAGCTGTGATGTTCTCCTGATTCAGCTCTGCTGGTCTTACATCCCACCACTCGTGACCTTGTTTCAAACTAATCAGAAGTGAAAAGCAGAAAAGCAGAGGAGAGCAGGGAACCATTATGAGGGGTCTCTGTCCAAATTCTGGGAGAGCACCTGAGATGGTGTCCTGCACGAGCGCTTCTCACGCTCTTCTCCAGGCCCCTCACGCCCGCCCTGCTTCCCAGGGCACCTCAACCTTCGGCCACCTTGACGGCATTTTGCAGATGCTGGAAAGCTCCCAGACGCCCCTCAATTTCAACACGCGGGACTGTTTTTCCCCCCTCAGCCTCCCCACCTTTCCTCGACCATCCTCTCCCGCTCTCTGTCGACTTTTGGCAGCCTTCCCTCAGATGTCATCCTTCCCCTGGAGCCTGGCTGAGCCAACCCGACCCCCGCCTGTCTACAGTGTCCGCCAAAACCTCTGTTTTGAAACCAGTGCTGAAATAGAAGCCACTCTTTTGAAAAATCAGATACCAGCAACTCACGGGAAAGTTCACACAGGCCTGGGGTAGACATCTGCCATGGATGCATTTGATTTTCAGTCACTGTCAACTCCCTCTGCAGTCAGATGGGGTGTTACCCATCTCCTTCCACAGACAAATCACGTTCCTAAAGTGCTTCCTTCTTTCTGCTGGCTATAAGAGAGGAACCTAAAAGGCCTATCTCAGATGTAAACATGTATGCATGTACTGAAAGTGAGTCGTCTCCCACGCTATAGGCAGAGCACTGCCAACTTACCGTAGTGACCACAGGAAAAGCGTAGGACAACACAGTGTGCGCTTTACCACGGCTGGGGTACGGCTGGTTTCCACCAAGCACGACTGGGCAGAGAGGCTGAAGTGACAAATCCTCCTCCACGGATCTCAGTGCCTAAAACATCTGGTCTCAGCACCCCTAAAGACAAACGGCAGGAAAATTCTTTGAGCCCAGGAGTTTGACAAGGATGCAAGGAACAGCACTCTGTCTCCCCTTTCCTGGGATATCCGTTTTACCATTACGTGATTTCCACGCATGGATGACATCCATGACAAATTAGTGCTCCCTACCTACCCCATTTCCCAGCCACAGCTCAGAAGCTTACCATAGTGGTAATTCCTCAGGCATTTGTAAAACAAGAGTATTATGGGAAAGATCAGCTGAGGGTTAAACATAAATATATAACTGCAATAAAGCAATACATCATTAAAACTCAATAATTCATTCCAAACAAGGCCTGCATCTTGCAGGCTCTTTGGATCGTTGGGATTTTGTGTCTTGCATGCATGAATAATATCTACCTTGGTGGCTATTTCAAGGAGCAATTTCAGTACATATAGCTTTTGAAATGGCTGGTATCACTTAGCAATAAGATCTTGTGTGAAATACTTAGAACATTTTTACATCAAGATATAGGTTACAGCACATGACTTAAGCAATATTATCACAACACATTATCAAATGCAATACTATCAAATACACATTGCTGCTTCTTTCCCGTGCTGCAATCAGAATGGGTGGGGTTCAGTAGATTCCTACATTTGGGTGTGGAATTCATCTCACGTAGTAAGACACCTTAACGTAGGTGTCTGTGAAGCAGCACGGATATCCCATAATAGTCGATGTCCACCCAGGGCTTCGTGCAGCCGAGCAGTAGGTGCCTCATTCCCCCGAAGGTGCTACAGGTACCGAAGGTATCAGAGGTACCCACATGGAGATGGCAGATGTAACTCACACCTTTCAGGAGGGGCCACCAGAGGTAAAGGTAGCTGAAACGGCACCGCACACCTAAAACTGAATTTAACTGATTTTCACCTTCCCCATTCACAGCACAGGCTGATGCCTCCTACCGTGTCCTGAGCTGACAGAGCTCAGCTGACCACCAGGAACGGGGAAATGCTAGTCTGCTCTATGATGCAACACACACAGCGGGTGTATTTGCTGAAATGAGACATTCTGGTCAATAACATCCTTCTGACATTACATGTGATAGACGTTTCCAGCACCCCAGCTTTTCAGTGTTCTCTGCGATCCTTGCAAAATCCACTGCTGTTGATTTTCTTCACTCGTTTTTTAACCTATCCTTTTTTCAAAGTTTTCAGGTTCTTTGATCCAGGTCAATGTTCAATTCCAGCTAATTAAACTTTGGTTGTATGGGATGTGTAAATAGCTCTTCACAGTACTTCGAGGAAAGCCCCCGAGTATGGATCACTCAGATATCTAACAGAGGCTTTAACTGGAAGAAGGGTGAATTTGCTGTTCACATGAAATTTCTGCCCCATGTTACCAGAGTATTGTGAAAACACAGCTTCCACATCTGTGTTTGGAGGATGATTTGATTGCTTGCATAATTTGAATATACTTCTGCTGGATGAGAATGCACAGTGTAAATATGCCCTTAGAGGTAAATGCAGCTTCTCACAACCACTGATAGATAATTAATGTTTCCTTCCTTTTCTAAAATGAAGTGGAGGAAGGCAAAACTCAGAATGAAGTGCTATATTATGGGACATTACTAGAGCAGAATATCCGATTGATTTTTCAGTTTCACTTATGATCCTTATAAGCAAGAATACGAGAACAAAAGAGGGAGAAACATTTGATTACTTGACAAGAAAGTAATAAAAATCAAGATTTGTCTTTGGTTTGCAGGATGAGCCCAAAGAAGAGAAAAAGGATCCTCCTGTAAGAGTAAGTATCCTTGTCACATACAGATTTGTGCTTTTCACACTTAAGCGTATAGAACCATTACATAAAATATACTTACTTCTAGAACTACAGTCCTTGTATCAATATAGCAATGAAAATTCAGGAAATATATTCCCGTGGTAACTTTATGTGTAAACTTAATATGTCCCTTTTGGATGGAGTAGCTTACACTAGGCAGAATCCTCTATGCATTTCACAAAACTTCCTACTTTTCGTTTATGGCACAAATAGATTTTGCTTAAGACAGATGTGACATTTTGGTTAAGAAAAACTGGAAACATTCTCTTTCTCATATCTGTTGGTGGAAAAATACCACTGTAGTTCAGGACAGCTAGACAGAGGGAATGCCGAGATCTTCAAAATCTGTGGAAGTTAATGCACACTGTCAGTCTTCCCCTGACACGAGTGGTCCTCTCAGCCCTGGAAGCACCTTAAGGTTTAGCAGATTCCAGACTTTGTATAACGTATCATGAGGCCAGATGATACATATCTGTGTTGGTTTGCCTCAAAAAACATTAAGTCTGTTTAGGAAAGACAGACACCATCCAGGGAATATTTGCATGATTAATCCCCGTAAAGATTGCGAGGTGAATTTACAGGGTGCTTCTCCCGTTTCAGCTTTCCATCTTTCTGTTTTTTTTAGGAACCATAAACAAGGACAGGAAAAAAAAGTGCCCTTAAAGCATAATAAAACAAACTAAAGAGCCAGTAAAGTTCAAAATCCAACTTTAAACTTCAAAAAACGGATTCAGTGGCAGGATGAACTGATTTATCATGGGTTTAAATTTGGAGAGAAGAACATTTAACTAGTACATACCTAAAAAATCATACAAGTTAGTTTTTTACAGAAACTGTATCAGGAAATTAATCCCCAAATTCTATTCGCCTATGGGGTGAAACGCACAGTCTGCTTGCTTTGGTTTTAGGTAAGGAGCAACAGATATGAATTCCAAAATTACAATGAGAAAAAAAAATACATCCTGAAAATCAGAGCACGCGGAAAATACTGTCTCATAAGCTCAAACTGGGGGGAATGGAGTGAACCCATTGAATTTGGTAAGACTGATTTTTTTTTTTTTTTTTTCCCCCCCTCAGTATTGCCATGTTTGCCACCCTTTCTCCCCCACATTCACAAACAGGAATAAAATCTTAATTCTTACCCAATGACACAGAAGGAACTGGTTGGAAATTATTAATGTGGAAGAAAAGCTCCAGTACTATGGCAACAGAGGCTGATACCAATCTTTGATTAGTTGGGATTTGTGAAAGCAACAGTTACTCAGATTCCAGGGCTACAGGAACAGGCTGAGATAGATCCAGTCCTGTTTTGGGTCAAAAGCGCTGAGGATGCCTTTTAGTTCTTTGAGTTTTTGCCGTGAATATACTCCCCTTTCTTCCACATCTTCCTTTTCACCCTTTCCCCACACTCTTTTCACAGTTCCACCACTTTTGCTCTATTATTCACTCTGTGATCCTTCTTCTTTTCTGGATTATTTTTTTTTTTTTTAATTCTCTACCTTTTAAATGCTTGAAATGGTTTAAAATGCATCAAGTGTACCTGTACTTTTTGTCAAGGTTCTGTAAGAGGTCAAATTAAAGTCCTTCAGATCATTGCAAAAATTAGGTGAAATTTGCATTCCTTACTGACAGTCACAAAGATAGCATTTTGGCATGCTAAGATATTTCTCTCTCTTGGATGTTTCAGGTCGAGGGAAAGATTACTTTATTTTTGTGATTTTATTCCTGATAGCAGTTGGAACAATCTCAGTGACACTGCTCCCATACTGTCTTTTCAAGAGGTAAATCAAACTTATTGATGTAGAAACTATTAATGAAGTACTATTTCTATGAAACACATTCCTCCTGTCTCCTACTTTCCTACCAACAAACTTAAATAATCTGATTATCAGTGTCATGAAGTATTATTACCAGCGTCGTTGGGGATGGCACTTTAGCATGCAAAATCACAGGTGAAAAAGGGTGAAAGGATGTTAAAGTGATTGATTCCACCAGATCCTGCAAAAACATTTCTGTTCTTACTTTTAAGCATTTAACATCCACTTTACTTTGAAGCCACTGGCTTCATACAGTACCAGACAAAAAGGAATCAGGACAAACGAACACGTCATTATTTTGACAAAACTTCTCACCTAGTGGTGGAAGAAAGTTATGACGTGATTTATTGAAAGTCATTGCTGAATAAAGCACTTACTGTGACTCTTGTCACAAAATAAATTTTAGTTTCTGAAATGATACATGTAATAACAGTTACCCATCGGTCTACACTCAAAATATTTTACTGCTCACTTAGTGATTTGTAGACCAGTAGGTATTTAATATTGAAAGTGAAAAATTGTCCTTGAGGTACAACACAAAATGTTTGTGTCAGTTATATTACCATTATTTTTAAATTCTTCACAATCCTAATTTCCACCCAAAGGTATTGCAGTTTGAAGAACATATTTTCTCCCATACCTCAACCGAGAGACAAATTTAATGCATCAACAGATGAAGATATCCAGGTACGCTTTCTTTTCAATTCAGTCAAATGTGCGAACTATAAACTACAATAGGCCAAGACAAGAAGAATCGGCATATAACGATGAGTGTTAAATTTGGTCCATTAAAACCTCATTTGCTCTCCTGCAAAGTATGCTGTTTTGAAACTAGAAAAGCTCTATGCCAGTGCTGAGACCAGTGATTATCCTGTATGTATTTGCAGCCATATTTTAAGACCAGAGTTATCACTTTTACTGACACTGGTAATTTCTGCGTGTACCAGTTTTGCTAGGTTGCTGTTCATACTTTAAAAATAACCTAAGTGAGGAAGTATTTCCAAGTATCAACGATCACAATACAATGTGAATATATATTTTTTTAAGTCTGACCTATACCCATGTAAAAATCCCGTTGCGTTGAATCTTGAAAACCAACAGGGCTGGAAAATCTCAACAGCTTAATTAGCCTTCCTCTTTGCTTCAGCACAGGAACAGCTATGAGAGTTTTGATGTTTTATGCAAACTGCGTTTGACCTGCATTCCACAGCATCTTTATGCAGTGTATTCTAACGTTTAATTACCCTTGCATTTAGAAAGCTTTTTTAATAGCCTCTTTTACTGCTCTTAAAATCAAATACCTCTTATCCTTATTCATGTTTACAGTATCTTCCACACTTGCACAACTGTAAACAGCAATTAACTCTTCCAGTCTTTCTTCACATGGCAGGACAACCAGGCTTCAAGCTATTCATGTGTCTCTTCTAATTTGTCCATTTGAACAGCGGTTTGTATAGTGTCTGCACAGTGAGGGAACGCTTTGTATCAGCTGGCTAAAGCAGAGATGCACTTTAAGTCAATAAATCAGGCCAGTTGTTTATTGCCTACATTTCAGTGGGCCACACCAATGAGGCTTTCAAAAATGACACAGAAATTTTCCTTCAATCTTTTACAAAGGAGCCTCAAAGCTATTACTACTAAAACTCTCTAGTCTTGGTAACTATATACCAGCACATTGTCCTGACTTGTCTTTGGTCCTATCATCTTTGGCTTTAATAGAAAGCAGGTGGCACTTTAACTCGGTTGAGTTTCCTCATACACCTGAAGTCCTAAAAAGCGGATATCTCACTTCGTATCAGTCTGCCAGAGCTAAGGCTACAGAGCAGCAGCAGTCCATAGCCCGTCATATTATTAAACAGCAATTGCTAGTGAAGTCACAAGCAGTCCTTTAAAAATTGCGGACCCTCCAATTGCTTGCTTTGACTAAGCTTGAAGGGCTTCCAAATTCCTGTGTGCGGGTACTATCACAGCCACTCAAACCACTCGGCTGCAACCCGGCAGACTTCGCAAGTGGTGGCACGGGCAGCACCTTACCAGCAATAACTGTCAGAGCTCAAGCGAAGCCCTCGGCCCACCTTGCCTCATACCTGCCAACAGTCACCGTGAAGATAAATCTGTCAGTCTCTGACGTGCCTGAACAGTTTCTAGACTCTGCCTATTTTAATCTAGTCTTAAAGCCTGGTTTTATTTTGCCTCTCCTGTCCCTACGCAGCTATATTTAACACTGATTGAATGCTGTCATCCTTCCAAGCAGGTAATAAAGCACAAAGAGGTTCTCAGGAGAGCTTTTCTCCTCCGCTGGACTATCTCTTCCTGCCATTTAGTGCTAAGATATTTACGACTTATTTTGAAACCTGTACTGGCCTTTGCTAATCCCATCTTTTTAAAGCTTTCATTTCTTCATTTTGTCCCTACCCAGCAACTTTTCACGTTTTCTCCTTATTTGTCCTGTTTCACAATACAACTTTTCCTCAGCTCACTGAAAAACCTGATCTACAACCTCAGCCTTTCTGCACTGAGTTTGCACTTGTATCCTTAACTCATGTCAAAGAACTGCCAGTTTTCCTATTTGCTGTGGCTAAGATCCCACAAACCAATTCACTCAGGGCATCAGACACCTTGCATTCCTCTAATCCATTTTATTTTACTCATCTTCCTTCACTTTTTGGTCATTCCTCACCCTCACTTTTAACATTTTTCCTCTTTTCCTCCATTAAATATATTCCAAGAACCTATAAGACATGCTGTGTGCAGATGTGTGGTTTACCTCAGAGACTGGCCGAGTAGCACAAAACACCACGACCACGAAGCCCTGCAGGGTTTGTCAATCCCACAGATTTCCTAGACAAAATTCCCCACCAAAACATCCTGGTTTGATGTTCTGTGACAGACCCCCAGTGACAGCAAGCTTGCTTTCCCCCCCAGTACTATCCTGTCAATATTATAAGCTTCAAGTCCTGTATCAGTACTATGATCTTACCCAGCCACTTCCACTCCCCTAGAACTTTAGGTTAACCAATGTAAACACACGATAGCAATAAAGTGTAGTTAATGCCTACTTACGGAAAACTCCATCAATACTTATGAATAAATCTCTTCTACCATCTCAGTTAAGGTTGTCCAGCATTTCAACCTACTTTTATTCTTTTTCCTTCCGCTGACAAATAGCCAGTACATGTTAAAACAGTCCTTGAATGTCCTGCAAACTGTTTTCTCCCGCTTTGCAGACATTGGTCTATTAAAATAGGAAGACGGGGTGACTTTGGTTCTGGTGTATCTGATGTTTAGAAATGTTCTCTGGTCAACAGTGACTCTGCGACTTACCTCACGTTACAGAATTTTCTTTCTCTTTAGGCAGAATACGTAAATCTACCAAAAAAGAGTTGTACTGAGGAGATAACTATGGTTGAAGAGATGACCTAACTTTCCAAAAAGACACACTTGGATTCCCCAACATGAAAGGAAACCATGGATCTTCCTGACAAGTAGTTCAAACCACACTAGAAATTAATATAATCACCTGTAAAACTATTTGTCCCATCAAAATCCACCTAAAACGGAGCAGGGGAAAGAAGTGGAGAAAATTAGTAAAATTTGTTCTTTTCCCTTTGTTGGGAGACACAGCACCCGGTAGCTAAGCTTTTCTGCAAATGCCTACTGTGAAGACTTGCTTAAACCTTGCTGAGATTTTCTTCACAAGACAAAGCTCCTCATCAAAAACAAATAAACTTGCTATTTCCCATCTTCACTGTTATGAGGCTTCTTTCCTCTGAATTTCATTTCCTATAGGACAAGAGGACTCATTAAGAATGCCGGAGTAGTTAATTTTCCCAGCTTATAATTTTTATATATTTTCTGAACCTAAATAGAATAACTTGCTATTTAAAATTGCCCTTCAACCTTGCAACCAGCAATACCAAACTGTCATAATATATTCAATAAATTTTATGCAAAACAGAAAACTGGAAATGACATTTGCCAAAAGTAACTTAATGCTGAGCTGCCAGTCAGCTATTTCATGAGCTCGGTATTTCCAATGCAAATGTGAACCTCTACAATACGGAATTAAGTCACAGATATTAAATCATAAAAAAAAACCACAAAAACCAAAAAACACTAACAGTTGTGAGAATTGGAATAAAATCTGTAATCAGATTTAATAACTGGATTTTAAATGTAAAGATCTCCTCATACCAATGCATTTTCTTTATTCCCTTCAAATACAAGCCCTATTTGCAATGCCTGTTAAAAATAATACACTTCAGATGCCAGAATTTTCTTCCACAAATTCCAGATCTTTTCCTGTTGTTAATTTTTCAAAATAAGTACATTTCAACAAGTGTTTCAATAAGGGAGGAAAAAAAAATGCTGTTTTTTAAAAGTCTCATTTATTGTTTGCCTCATGTTCCCACACTGCATAATCACACATTGAAAATTGCTGCTGCATGACTAAGGGAAGCCATATACTTTAAAAAAAAAAAAAAAATGAACACCAAGTAGTACATGCTGAACGCACAGCATAAGTAAATTGCAGTTCGGCTTAAAAACACACCTACACTTGCATTGATTTGCCTATTTCTTCTGGTGAAAGTCTAGTTCTGGAAGAGAGGGGGTAAATGGAGTGAAAAATGTCCTCTCCCTTTCAGAGGCTGCTCAAGTAATCGTCATGTTTGGTTCTCCTTCACACAGCTTGGGCCATCATACACTCACAGTGAGGTTAGGTGAGGTATCCTATCATCATCTCTACCTTTCAAGCCACTCGTAGGAAATAAACCTAAGCAGTGTGTTGATGTAGACAAAAACTCTCCCCCTGCCCCCTCCAATTCAATATAATTACAACCGAAACAGCAAGTGGATTGGCAAGGTCAACATCAAACGACCTGCCCACACCACGAGGGAGCTACCATTACCAAACGGGATAAAAACACCTGCAGTAGGTACACAAAGTTTGCTACCAGCCTGTGCACAAAGCAGCTGTGTAGTGTACTTACATTCACATTCAGATGTTGAAAGCAGTGCTTGTGCAACAGTGAAAGGAAAAAGGTAAATTATGTTTGAGAGGAAGATAATAATCAGCCAAAGCCAAGTAGTTAATTTAAATACTTCATCTTGAATAGCAACCTCAGAAGGCACACAAAAGAACTCAAAACAGCTCAGTCAGCCTTCAATGACTCATACAGTGACACACTGTTTCCTTCTCAAGATATAGGTAGAGTTCTTCAAAACCGTGACTGGAAGATAAAACACCTGGTTTTCCTTTACTGGTCCCTCTACCACGTCTTTGCAGATTACAAAGTACAAAAGTAAAATTACATACATGTGAAGAACAGCACAGAGGTATTACATTATCTCAGATTGCAGTATGAGAAATGATTCAGTCTGATTTTGGTTTTCTGACAACCCCCAGAACTAAACATCAATCAGTTAATACTGAAGGCTGACCTACCTTGATCTAGATTTTACAGCTACACAGAAGCACACGTAGCCTCTCACACAACCCCATCAACATCACCTCTTGGAATGAACCTCATTTCAGAGTAAGTCACCTTCCACAGAGCTACCGACCACTGCTACAGATCAGGGGCCAAACAGTATCTTGAATGGCACAATCAGCGTTTCCAAATAGCAGCCACAATACAATACATAAATTACTCAGAAATTGAAGGCATTTACCAGGTTCCTGGGTTTTTGCATGAATTCCATGTCGCTTTCTACATCAATTTAAAAAAAGTATTAGTTCATTTTAAGCTGTTTTACCAAGAGCGAGAGTAGTAGTTTTTGACTGTCCTTGGGACTTTGGGTTCTCCTAGCACTACAACAGGAAAAACCCCATATTAAGTCGTATGAAAAGTTGCAAATCACTTTCTATGAATCATGCAAAAAGCCACTTGCAGCAGCCCATCATACACTACCAGGCAAAAAGAATGTGAGTGGTTGCTATTAGTATGACCCATGCTTCCCCCTTCCCCCCAAGTTCTCACATTCAAATTTTTTTTTTTTTTTAAAATCAAGCTTATTCTGTTAGAGTGCAGTGTAAGCAAATCAGAGGAACCATTATCTGAAACAAGTTTTCAAACAAAAGAGGCTTTCCCAAAGCTTTTATGTAATAATTTCAACACAGACAGAGTAAGTATGTTTATTGTTTTACAGCAGAATGCCCCAATTTAAGAACAAAATTGCTAGATGTTCAGCTGTGCAAAATGGTACATAGTGCTTCAGTACAAGTGGAAAAGAACATGATTTGTTAGCAAGTACTTTCAAATACAATTTTATGGTCCTAGAAGATAGGACTTGAAACTGGGGACTGATCCACAGGCAAATTTTTTCTGCCTAAATTGGACCCAGCCACTTTGGACCCAGAATCAACATTACTCATTCCTCACTGCTGGAAAAAAAAAATAAAAACAAAAAACAAAACACCACACTGAATTGCCAGATTCAGTGTCTTCATGCATGTTACTGAGAAATGGATCAGTCCTCTATGTCAGTTTCTAGCCCCATCTACAAGCATCATCTGGCTCCGATAAATAAGACTCACAGGAATTTCTTGAAGGTCAATGGTCCATAATGGTAGTTATTCTACATGATCTGCTCGACTTGATTTCCAATTCTAGTTAGGCTGTTTAAATTACTTTCTTGAATTCATCGTACAGCACAAGCACAAAAGCACCCCCCATGCCTCTGAGGACATTAGACCATGCACCCTTGAAGAACGCCTTTCCTCCCTCATCCCTTGCAATCTTCCGCCAGCAGTCAATTGTTCCAGAGTACATGATATCAGCTGCAGAAAAAGAGCAAAGAGTAATTTAACTCCTATAATTGTATCCAAGATGATTTTAACAATTGCCCTGTCTCACTTCTCTAGCTATTTTGTGATGTCCCAAACCACATTTAAGACTTTAACACAATACTTAGCTTTTAGAAACTAGGCAAGCAGATTTTCTATTGCCTGAACTACTAAGTCACAAAATAAAAATGTTAAGCCTTCTTTTTGGAAATTATACTGTACCCTAATTGGTTTCATTTAATCTTTCAGTGCAAACAGGTAGCCCATCTGCCCACTTCCTGGTCTGTGAAGAAAATTCCTCAGCATAATTCTTGACAAACACCACAAGTCAGGCCCTACTGCATTTCCTCATCTCATTTAAACGTAATATAATGTAAATCAGATTTATGGAACAAGGAACTTAAGGGGTGAGGGATGACCATTAGGAAAAAAGAACTCCATCTTGATAGTACTGCTTAAAGAACGGCACAAATTAACAGCCCACCTCCTTTGCGTCCTGACTGCATCATCATTCTACGCCTCACTGTATCAAAAGGATAGGAGACCACACCAGCCACAGCCGTCACCGTCTGGGCAATCATCCAACTGATAACAATATGAGTATTTCTGGGATCTGGGAGCATGCCTGCAATAAAAGAAGTAGTAATTAGCTTTTTATCTTGCGCATCCTCCTCCCGTTCGCTCACTGTATGACAGCTACTTTACTAGACAAACTACTACGAAACACTATAAAGCTATACTTTGACATTGTAGCAAGACACCTGATAAAACTGAAACATGCTGAAGCAATATAAAAAACATTTAAGGAAATTCAGAGGATATTCTCCTCAGTAATCAAAACAGTTAACATGTAAGCACCAGGATTCTTTTCAGACTGCCATTAGAAAAAAATCTAACTATTCCCTACTCCTTTTAGAAACAAATGCCACTAAACTAAGTCACTGTCCCTGGGAATTACATTAAACTATAAGCTAGTACCGATGACCTCTACGCCCAAATGTCGAGCTTAACAAACAAGTACTTTGTAAAAGCATCGTTCAATCCCATTCTGCTAAACACACTTGAACTGGCTCAATATAACTACAGTAATGCACTGAAGAAAAAAAGAACTTCTTATAATTGTGTATTGGTACCAACATGCTTTGCTGGCACGAGGACAAACTCCTTTAAGTACATAACCAGGAGTACTGGAGAGTAGCCTGCTACTGTCAACACGTGCCTGGGTTTTGCCTTGAACATACAGGGTCACTGATGTGGGCACCAACATCCCCTCCCACCTCCACGCTCACATAGTTACTAGGCAGACATCCTAGATGTCCAAGAACAGACACAAGCAAACAATACATTTCTGAAAACAGGTTTATCAAATCCCCTCTGCAACGTTACCTTTTGCTGTATCATAGATCCCAAAGTAGGCAGCTCTATAGATGATGATGCCTTGGACAGAGACATTGAACCCTTGATATAAGCCACGCAGCCCATCAGACTTGGTAATTTTGACTAGACAGTCCCCAAGACCAGAGAATTCTCTGTCTGCACCAGCTTTTCCGACATCAGCAGCCAAACGGGTTCTTGCAAAATCCAAGGGGTAGACAAAGCAGAGGGAAGTGGCTCCAGCTGCACCACCAGAAGCCAGGTTACCAGCGAAATACCTCCAGAATTGAGTGTGCTTGTCTACACCTCCCAAGAACACCTGCTTATACTTATCCTTGAAGGCAAAGTTGAGAGCTTGAGTTGGGAAGTATCTGATGACATTCGCCAAGTTTCCTCGCCAGAAAGACAGCACTCCTTGCTCCTTTGGAATACGCACTACACAATCGATGATACCCTTGTACTGCTTATCAGCAGCAATTTGTTTACTTGCATGTTGTACCTGCAAATAAAAACATCTATTTGGACCATATGCCTTGACAGGCCTGCACTACAGCTGGGCTTAAGTCTGCTTTTGCTATAAAACAAAAGAGCTGTTAAGCCTGTATGCCCGATGGCAGCTGTGCACAGAGACTAAGCCTCTGATAAACCAGGTGCGATAGCGAACTTCCAAGCAAAAGCTCCTGGGTCTGCCTGAATCTTAAGACTAAGAACTGTCATTGATTGATATTTCAGTGAAGAACAAAGAACCCGAGGATTGACCTAACTCTTTAGAATTAAAAGCCTAGGTTTTACACGCACATAAAACCAGAGGATGCATGTGTAGGAGGAACCACAGACACGCGAGGCCCTGTACCATCCTAAGAACCAGAAAAAGGCTTGGAAGCGCTCCTCAGCTTCCTCAGGGCTCGGGCCTTGCCCAGCTGGGAAGAGCCAGCCGTGAGCAACACGGGCCTGTGCCTACGGGACACGTACGCGGGGACGGGGACCACCCAGCGCCGGGCGCCCTCCCCGAGGGGGGTCCCACGGGCGGAGGGGGCGTCTGGGCGAGCCCCCCTCCCGCCGACACGTTCCCCCGGCCCGCGGGAGCGGCGGCGGCCGCCGTCGTGTCGCCCGTCCCCCCGCCCGGCGAGGCCGCGACCTCCGCGAAGGTCACGCGAGTCACCTTGGGGCGCGGGGCCGCCCCACGCCCCGCCCGCAGGGGGGGGGGGGTCACAGGGGGCCCCGCCCCGCCGGCGGCCCAATGCGCTGCCCGGCCGCGCCGCCGCGGGAAGGTCACGCCAAGATGGCGCCGCCCTGCGCGCTCGGCGCCAGCCCCGGGGACGGGAGGAAGTGACACCCCGGGAGCCGCCCCCTATCGCCCCTCCCTCACGCCCCCCCCCCCCCCCGCCGCAACGCCGCGCCCCGCATAGCGGAACCGGCTTCCCCGCCGCCGCCCACGTGACCCCCCGGCCAGCCACCGCCTCGCGCGCGCCCTTTGTTCCGTGGGGGGTTTGGGGGGGGCGCCCACGGTCCGTCCTTCCTTCAGCCCCACCGGCCAGCGCGGGCGCCCGCGGTGTAAGGTTGGGGGGGGGGGGGGGGGGGGGGGAGAAGGGACAGGCCCCGGCTGCCCGCGCTGCTCCCCGCTCCCGCCGGGCTCGATCCGCGGCCGCTGACCTGAAGCAAGAGCTTGACCCGCTCGATGGGCGCCACCGCGGTCTTGCTGATGGCGGCGGCGACGCCGCCCGCCAGAAAGTCCTTGAGAAAGGAGATGGCCTGGTCCGCCATGTTCGCGCCGCGCCGGAGCCGCCGGGGGGGGAAGAGACGCCGCTGCCGCTCAAGCCGAAAGGGCGGGACCGCCGCCGCGCATCAGCTAAATGCCAGGCCCCGCCGGCCACGCCCCTCGGTCCCCCATTGGCCGCTCCGCCCCGGGGGCGGGGCCTCACCGCCCGGGGCGGGAGGGGCCGGGTCGCCTCAGGGCGGCGGTTACGGCGGGGCGGGGCCACTCCCCCCCCCCCCCCTACTTCCTCCCACTCGTGGCGCCAGTGGCGCAGCGCCGCGTGGGCCCCGCCGCCCGTGAAGGGCGAAGAGGCCTTGTCTCCGCCCCAGCCCGGCCCCCCGGCGGCTCTTCCCACCGCAGCCGGTGTTACCCCGCGAACCGGCCGGACGCCAAGCGGAGCGTGAGGTGGCGGTGGAAGAGCCCCCGGCTTTGGCGGGGTGCGCGGGTTTGGGAGCCGAGGAGCGGAAACGACCGACCCCACGGGGGAGTTCGTGGGGGTGGAAGCGGGCGCGGATTTGGGTGCAGGGGAGCAGATTTGGGGCGCTCGCCACCCTTGAGCGACGCTGACGGGAAGCACACCCCACCCCCCCCCCCCCCCCCCCCCTTTCCAGGTTCTGCTCCCACCCCGCTCCTCCTCGCCAGCGCTTTCTGTCCCCATCACCGAATTGAGCCAAGATAAATGCCAAAGGAAGCAACAGCGGTTTCCTGGAGGGACCGTGGGGAAGCGTGGACACGGCTCTTCTTGTTTGGGCGCTCAAAGTGAAGCTCTTCTGCAGGGTTGCCCGAGCGGGCACGCACGGCAAGGCCTCTGCCCCCTACAAAGACAGGCCTGGTCTCCGTCAGTAATTTCTGCTAATTTTCTTCTGTGCTGAAAGTGAAATCTTACACCTAATGGCCAAACTTCTGTCTGAAATTATTCTCTCTAAAAGCAAGCCTTGAGATTGTTCTAGCTGGAGGGCATTTGTTCATGCGTACCTTTTATTACCGCTCTCACTTTTAATGCATGTTTCCTACAAAAGTAAATAAAACCGAACTTTTTTTTTTTTTTTTTTTTAAATAGATGACTGGTGAACCACAAAGTTGGGGTAGCTGACGTGTCTGTAACCACTGCTTACATACGTGTGTACTTTTCAGGATTTCAAAATGAGAGCATCTGTGAGACAGCACGCCGTGAGAACGGGATGGGCCAGGCATACATAGCCTCTGTCTCTGCTGTGGTACAACAGACTGGATTACACGTCACCATACCTTTTTTCTGCACTTCAAAAATCCAAAGTAAACTGCGTGCCATCTTATATAACAGTACAAAATAATAATAATCCAAATAATAGTACAGTTACAGTGAAGTGACTCCTGTGCCCACACTGGGTTAGGCACATACAGTGTTACAGGACCAGATTTTGGATGTAATTCATGAAAGGCTGTACTGCACGATCTCAGGCAGGCACTTGGACTTTAGTGTGGCATTTTTCGTTTAAAAAAATCTCAGAGCTGAATGTTCGTACTCTCATAGTATAACACAGTGTGTGCAAGGCTGGATTTTTTTTTCCCTAATACAATTTTCTATTGATTAAAAAAAGAGTTTAATACTCTGGGACTCCGAAGTGTTGTCGATTTGAAAAATTAAGGTAAAACGCACATAACTTTTGTGATAGGAAATTGTTCAGTCAATAGTTGGCCTGTCCTGTTCACCTTGGGAGCTCAGATATCTCTGGCTGGAGGAAATTCTTTCCTCATTAGGGCCATGCTTTTCCTTCTGTTCCTGCACCTTTTTTTCTGTTCTTTATCTAATCTCATATTCTAATCTCATGTTCTCCACTTTCATAAGAGCTCACAAATTAAGTAGGGCTAAAAAGGAGGAGGATGTTCTTGAACCAAATGTGGTGCCCCCACATTTCATCTCCAATTATAATCACAGATGAAACTTGCGCATTTATACAACTGCCTTTTTCCAGAAACCTCCTAGAAGGCAGAGGAGTCTGTCTTGACTCTCTTGAGAAGCTGCTGCTTCAGTTCTTGTTTCCAGCCTTGACTACACCATTGCAGTAGCCGTTTCCAGACTTCATAAGAGAATTTTTTTTTTTATTTACAGTAAAGTGTGTAACATAAAATCATATTAAAATGGAGTATTGAAAAGATACCTGCATTGACCTCCTGAAACAGGGGCAAAGCAATGTGTGCTGGTCTGAAAACTAGACAATTCTAATTGTACCAAGTATGAAGAAACTGATTCCTCAGGAATGTGATTGCTGCCATAGGGCTGCTGATACCATTTGTGGTTAGAGACTTGTTTCTGAGAGTACTAGAGGTGCTGTGCAGCCACAGTATCACTGCCATCAAACGATGCCAGAATCTTCTGGTATTTTACTCAAGTTCAAAATAAATCTTTTTAAAAGAAACTTCAGAAAGCTGACATAACATTTCTTGCTTATCATATTGATGGCAAACTGAGAATGTATTTGCATAATTACAGAACATCAAACATGACTAGAGACATGCGGATTTTATTACTAAATCCATTTTTCCTAGGTCTTAATGCAGAGAACGACATCTAACAAATTTCCTGTCAATCCGATTTTGACATTTGTGAATCCATGTTGTTCCAGTAAACCTCGGTATTCAGAGCCGCTTCTCTCCTTTCCCTCTGTCTGCACAAGCATGTTCAAAGACTGCAGCAGAGCTGTGCTCCTGCTCTTCTTCTCATCATCTAATACCATTTCAGCCAGCAAAATCCCACAACCTAATTTAAAAACAGATGCATGCAACAGTACCAACCCATTATCTGGCAAGAGAATTTCTGCTACCATTTTTAAGGGTGCAAATTACAAGACACGGGTGATTTCATTTATCATTTGTAGATTTGCTTTGCTATTAAATGACTAACCCGCTATTAAATGTATAATCCACTCCCCTCGCAAAACCCAGGAAATTCCCTTCCACACTATGGGAGGGAGCACTAACAAGTCAAGTCAGGTCTGTGTTTTCAGGGGAGGAGGGGATGACTTCTGTAGACTTGGCATGAGGGTTATGGAAAACACTTAGACATGAATAGTAGCGGCGTCTCCTTGGGATATATCGCTGCTTCACATTCATATTGAAATAGTGCCAAGCAGACAAAAGGGTGGAAAGCAAGCATTATAAAAGCAGAGAAGAAATCAATGTTGTATATTATTTCCGTAGGAACTGAGGTCTTTGTGGTGGGACTGACCTAGGGATGCAAGCAGAACTTAAATGATCCTGTTTACACACAGCCTCTTCCTCCATCTTCAGACCCGTGAGGGGAAAGTGAAGACAAAAGAGGGTTACTGATAGAACGAGCATTATTTTACTCATTGTCTTTTGGGCTTACATCTTATGTGGTGGTTTCTCTTGGAACAGCGTGGGTAGGAAGCCACCAACTCAGATCAAAATTGCAGCATTTTACAGTGATTTTAGTACTACTATGCGGCATAGCACACGTATCTTTCTGACCCTTAAGATAATCTCAGAGCCATTCCCACCCGTACATCTCAGTCATTTAACAACTGACAAAAAGTAAATTAAACACTGCAGTTTCTTAGAGGAGAGACTGAGATCTGCAGATAAAATTGCTGAGACCTCGCGTGTTAACTATCATGAGTCATGAAAGTCCTTCTGACAGCTTATTAATAAATTCCCTGTTTCTTCCCCGTGTCATCAGCTATTTGACTAAATGCAAGTTCAAGCTCTCTACCCTGCGATGAACATGACACAGGTTTGCTTCACAGAGAAAAAAGATTAGCAAGCATGTCTGAGGTGAGCCTGAACCTACATTATCTGTCCAGTGGGACTCTTCTGCCCTAATTCAGTCATCCATAGATTAGATAGCTATATTTCAGCCAGCCCTCTTAAATATGCTTTATCCACTATGAAACGTGTAATCACTTCTCTTAGGAAAACCAGGAAATTCACAGATAAGTGAGATGAATCATCCACTGAAAAATCCATGTTTTTCTACTGATTAGGGAGCTCCAGGTGACTAGATGGTCTGAATGCCTAATGTTAGGAAACCTAAAGTTAGGGTGATGAAGCCCATTTGTTATGATTCAGTGGTTTCTATTCCCCTTTCCATCTGATTCTCCTGTGTCTTCAACAGAATGATCTGGGAATTGCAGTTCCTGGTTATACAGCAAAAGTTGCTAGGCAGAGCTAATGCAGGACTCTAAGTCACCACTATATTACTGCTTTGGAAGACGGTGTCCAAATTCTGTACACTCTAAAAGGAGGACACAAATAAAATGGTCATTGTACCTTGCCATGGAAAGTTATCTGGGACATGCAGATAATATCAGGGTAATCTGAAAAAATATACCCAGAAAGTACAAACAATGTGGGAAGAACACCTTCAAAAATTAAACACAGTAAATTAAGTTAGTACAGGGAAAAAAAATCTCTCTACAGTTAATGAAGACTTACTAATGTAACTGAAATTTCTTCGTGAGAGAGACTGAAACAACTAACTTCCAGCCCTTTCAGAAAGGATACGCTGATAAAGAATTTTTGGCCGTGGTTTTATAGAAGATAAAAATTAATGGTTGCAACAATCTTTTCTGAATTAGAAAGTAATTTAATCCAATTATCACTGTTCAGCAAGGACACCATTTCCAGCCAAAAGATGGGGGGAAAGTAAAGTTCCAGCCCTCCAAAAACTTTTTTAAAAAACAAACCAAAACCCCACATTAAATACTTCCACGATCCAGGAGTTGGCGAACACATCCAAAACTGAACTGAGAGTGCACACAGAGGGTCTTAGTCGTTAAAAAAGCTTCCCAAGCTTTTGTGCTGGGCGGTTCAGATGACATACTACCCTTCACGTCTGTCCCATTACCTTTTGAGGCACAAGTACTGTTAATAGCTGTAACAAGGTCAAAAATTGATGTGAAAATGATTGAGCTAGCACAGCCAACCAAGCTGTGTCTCTTACAAACTTCTTTTTCTATCTTCCTCAAGGATTCTTATCTCAGCGTTCAGTGAGCAAGTGCTGAAGTTCTTGTTTCTATTATTGATCTATCATGCTGTTAACCCCCACAATTATCCACCTCAAAAAACTGTCTTCTGTGCATCACATTTCCTCTGAACTGCTGTTAAGACAGAATGTGGGTAAAAGACAGCATCCTCAAGAAGGCATAGCTGAATGCCACTTCCTAAGGAGCAACACACTTACAGATGTTACTGACAGAAATTCATTTGGATTTTAAAACTTAGCCCCATCATTCTTCATGTCTTCATTAGTGAACTGGCCCAAGTTTTCCTCAGTTATGCCTATTGCTTAGGAAGTCTTTTCAGTGTAACGTCAGTAAATCCATCCCTTCTCCCAGCCAGCAAAAGATACCAGCTTTCTCCAGAGCAACTGAAAAACTCAATTTGGACATTAATGAGGGATGATAAGTTTATCATTTCTCAGGTGAGTGGGCTACGACAAATATTAGCGAGCAGCTTAGGCTGAGAGGGACCACAGGAGCTCTGTAGTCCAACTGCCTGCTCAAAGCAGGGCAGCTCTAGTCAGCTCAGCTGTGCAGGGCTTTGTTCTCAGATCTTGAAAGCTCCAAGGACCACATTCCACAACCTCTGGGCAACCTGCTCAAATGCTTAATGATCCTGAGAGTGCAAAGCCACAGTGTTACCACAGACACTGTGCCCAAGGGACTAATGCTCAGCCTCCGTAGAGTGTTACGCTTTAATCACAGAGTACGTTGAGGCTGTGTGGTAGCCAAGCACATTCTAGTCAAATTTTACAGCCAAACACCTAGTACTTAGAGGCACAGTTTTAAAGTCTATGACAGTTACAGATGTACCAACTTTAGTGTTGAAATCTTCCAATTCAAGCAGCTTACAGCTGCTTAAAGAACAACGTTACGAACTTTATGAATAACTACTAGAAACACCTGACTGCTAGAATGAGTCTCTCTCAAAAATACAAACCTGGTAAGGATAATGTCAATCTTCACGTCAATATAGAAAAGAAACATTTTGTATTTATTCAGTTACTGAATATTGTGCCGTATCTCTTCAAATGTCTGTACAGATGAGATCAGTCAAATTTCCATTCATAAAAACCTACCAAGAATTAAAAACCCCAGTGTGATAAAAGTCTGATATTTCACTGATTTTGTGCAGCTGAAATGCTCTGTAGTAAGCACGTTTCTCATGATGAATTGAATCACTGTGGCACTTCTGCTTTACCCAGCACTCACAGAGCAAAGTAACCTCTGATTAAGTAACATCAGAGTCCACCATGCAGATGCAGCTCTTGATCTTGCTCATCAACTCTTTAATTTTCTGCAGTCAGTTAATCAGCATAGGCACAGCCTCTTTTGCCCTGTCTTACTGGAATTATTGATGTACAAGTGTGACCAGCAAGAAACTCACAACTGATAAAGAAAGCTAGTTTGAAAATGCAACTTTAATCCTCAGGAAGACTTCTACTACAGAGTAGACTTTAAATAGAAAAAAATAAATACCAATGAAGTAGCAGGAAAAAAAAAACATTAGTGACAAATTACTTCAGAAGATGAGATACATTACGTGTTTCTATAATTAAAGACTGGAACATGAAGAAACTTCTATTTTTAATTTTTGTAAGAGAATTTATACATAGATCCCAAAACTCATCCCAAGTAACGAGACAGAAAGCATCTATGGCCATTTAACCACATTCAGAAAAAAACAAAACTGACAGGAACAGATAGGAACAGCTCTCAACAGCAGCCTGTATGGGTTCATGCTGTGGCTAGAGGTCAGAGGCTGCTGAAGTTTCTCTGTGACATTATAGCTGCTGTAGGAACATGTTTGAGCTTCGTCCTATTTTCACTTTTGCCTGAAGAAAAAGTGCTTTAAAAAAGGGTATCCTTGAGATATTTTTTTCAGTAAAGCCCCACAGAAAGGTGAAAAAGAGGAATGGCACCCCCACATTCAGACAGATGGTACAGTATTCCTTTTCCTTTTTTCATTTCTGATAAAAATGAGTAGTAACTACTGAATAAACTGCAGAGTGAGAATTCTTTTTAAGGTCCAAGAAAAATAAGGTATTACTGTGGCTCATAAAAGACTGTAGTTTTAACTTGGCATGCTAT